TTTCTTTCTTTCTTTCTTTCTTTCTTTCTTTCTTTCTTTCTTTCTTTCTTTCTTTTTTGTTTTTTTCTTTTTTTGTTTTTCAAGACAGGGTTTCTCTGTGTAGCCCTGGCTGTCCTGGAACTCACTCTGTAGACCAGGCTGGCCTCGAACTCAGAAATTCACCTGCCTCTGCCTCCCAAGTGCTGGGATTAAAGGCGTGTGCCACCACCGCCCGGCCCTGTTTTAATTTCTATATCCTATACCTCTTGGTTTGCTGGCCTAAATAGAAATTTGTCAGTTGTATTGGTCTTTTCAAAAGAACTGCCTTTTGGGTTTATTTGGTTTTCTCTAATTTTTTTTCCTGATTCCATTTATCTATTTTTCCTACCATACCCCTCTTTTCAACAGGCTCTCATGCATCCCAGGCTGGCCTCTATATAGCCGAGGCTGGCCTTGAACTCCTGATCTTTATGCTACCACCTTCCAAGTTCTGGTTTGAGACAACAAGGTCTCACTTCATAGTCCAGGCTATCTTGGAACTCACTAGATAGTCCAAGCTTGCCTCAAACTCAGCAATTCTCCTGCCTCTGCTTCCAGAGGTCTAGAATCGCAGGCATGCTCTATCACACCTGACTGGGCTTCTTATTTGTTTTTTTTTTTTTATTCTCTTTTTCTGTTTGTCTTTGATTTATAACGTTCATCTTTCTCTGACTTCTTATGATAGAAGCTCTGAGTATTGATTTTAGACTCTCCTTCCTTTATAACACACACATCTCCTGGTTCCAGTTTTTCTTCTTCTGCTTCATCCCACAAAGTTTGTAATTCATTTAATTCAAAATGTTCTCAACCTGGCTAGCATTAGAGATGCCTATAACATTGGCAAAACCCATCTGGGCGTCTGTGAGGGTCTCTGGGCAAGATTGGCTTGTGGGTCGGTGTACTGAGTAGGAGAGGCCCACTCTGAATGAGCCGTGATTTCTGAAAGGCTGGGGCCCAGATGGAAAGTCAGAAAGGTGAGAAGAGATACTCGATCTCCCTTATTGAACAATGCATCTTTCTGCTGTTGCCTCTAAAGGTGTCAGACTCTGGGTTCCTCAGCCTTTGAAGGTGGAGCTGTACCAGCAGCCGTCCATGGTGCTTTCAGACCATTGGCCTGGAACTGGGGCTGCGTCGCCAGCTTCCTTGTGTTCTTAGGTGGTCAGCTTCTTGGTCTGAGCAGCTCTGAAGCAGGCGGCTGTCATGAGGCTCTTCAGCCTCCGGCCCTGTGAGTTAATAGGACACCCCCACTCAGTGTCTATATTTAATTGGCTCCAGTACTCTGGAAACCTCTGACTAGATACATAGAAATATAGTTTACAAGGATTGGTTAATTGATCATCTGAAACAGAATTTTGCCATGTTACCCAAGCTTTGCCTTGAACTTCTGAGTTCAAGTGAATCCCCTGCCTCCACCTCCTGAGTAGCTGGGACTACAAATCACTGTGCTGAGTTTAATCTGCTGTAGATTTTGATTCTGCTATAGGTAATGCTGTAGTGAAAGCTGAGAAAGTAACTCACTGGTACAGTGCCTACCAATGTTGCACAAGGCTCTGAAGTCAATGCTAGCACTGTCAAACAGTGTTTGTTTGGTTTTTTTATTTTAAAGGGAGCTTGAGGGGCTGGGAGGTGGCTCAGTGGGCTAAAAATTCACCATGCAAGCATGACTACTTGAGTTGAGTTCCCTGAACCCACTTAAAAGTGAAAAGAGAAAATTGACTCCACAACATCATCCTCTGGCCTTCACTCACACACATACACCATGGCTTATGTGCACCCACACACATGTACACACACACACACACATACATGCTCACACATATACCATGGCTTATGTGCACCCATACACATGTACACACACACACAGACACACACACATACATACATGCTCACACACATGTACACACACTCAATTAAAAAAAATTACCCCAGCAGGTAAAGATCTTTGCTACCAAGCCTAACAATCCCAGAAACCCACATGATAAAAGGAGAGAATCAGTCCCTGCACACTGTCTTCAGACCACATGTAAATCTGGCCCATGCACACACAAACAAATAGACTGTAAACACCTGAAAGGGAAGTTTGAATACTGCTATAATGAATTCCCTTGACCTGAGACACTTTAACTGTAGCGATATGTGGCCAGCATCATGCTAAAGGAGGTTCAGAGGGATGTGAAGGCACCTAGCAGGACCTTCTGTGGAACTGAGGGCTTGAGGCAGCCTTCCTCAGTAACACAACATTTAAGCTGAGAGTGAAGCAGTTGGAACTGGGGTGGGTGGCAAGAGGGTTGGGGTAGCTGAGAGGTGACCATTGGGCAGAGGAAGAAGGAAGGGGAAACGTTGAGTGGGGTGGAAAGGGAATGATCCCTGGAAAAGAAAATCTAACTGAGGAAGTGAAAAAGTTCCCTAGCTGCCGGGCGGTGGTGGCGCACGCCTTTAATCCCAGCACTTGGGAGGCAGAGGCAGGCGGATTTCTGAGTTCAAGGCCAGCCTGGTCTACAGAGTGAGTTCCAGGACAGCCAGGATTACACAGAGAAACCCTGTCTCCAAAAAACAAAAAAAAAAAAAAAAAAAAGTTCCCTAGCTGGAAGAAAATGTTTGAGGTTGAAGAGTGCTGAGGAAATGGGTCCAGAAAGCAGGGCGGCCTGGTTCACACAAAGGCTACAATGGGGAGCCGCTTACAGAGTTGTTTTTTTTTTTTTGGGGGGGGGGGTTGTTTGTTTATTTGTTTAGACAGGCTTTCTCTGTGTAGCACTGGCTGTCCTAGAACTCACTCTAGACCAAGGTGGCTTCGAACTTACAGAGATCCACCTGGCCCTGCCTCCTGAGTGCTGGGATTGAAGGTGCTGCCACCACCGCTGCCCCTGGCCAGTCACCACTGAAGGATTTTATTAAAGGGATAATGAAGCTCAGCAGTAGAACAGTTGCCTAGCAGACAAGAGACTCTGGGTTCAGCTGTCAACACCAGAAACAATGGAGGAAGTTCTGGGATTCTGGTGTGACACAGACAGAAAACTGCCTGCTGTGTACATGGCTGAAGAGACTCAGGCTACAGGGAAAGAGGATCTCATTGGACCTTGTCAGTCTCAAGACCTGTTAGTCTTTCGTTGCTGAAACCATGTATTTTGTGAAGTATCTGTCTTATTTAGCAGTCTTTAGCAAATCCCCAAGAGCCTTTTTCCATTCTGTTTTCCTTGTTGTCAGTTTTTGAACTCCCAGGCTGCACTGTAGATGATCTGAGGGCTTCTCAGGTCTACAGCTTAGTATCTCCTCTGCCCCAGGGCTTAGCTCTTATCTAGTCCCCAGCACTTGGGAGGCAGAGGCAGGCGGATTTCTGAGTTTGAGGCCAGCCTGGTCTACAGAGTGAGTTCCAGGACAGCCAGGGCTACACAGAAAAACCCTGTCTCGAAAAAACAACAACAAGAAACAAACAAACAAAACAAAAAAAAACAAAGCAAAACAAAAAACCAGAATGAAGCTGTCACTGGATCTCACCACTCAGATCCCCAGCCCTTTGACATGTCTGACAGAAGAATTCAGATGAGACCTGCGGAGTGTAGTGTAGAAGGTAGGCAGCTTACTAGAAAATGGAGAAGACAGCACAGGCAAGGGGACCATTGCAGCATCTGCATTTTAGGCAGCATTTGCACTGTGTCCGAAGTCTCCAGGTGACTGGCAGTCCGTCTCTTGATTGACCTTCCAGGGAGAAGGCCATGGTATATGCTCTTGCTCTTTACCACAATGCCTTCTGCTGTTCAGTAATTGTGTAAGGTTTAGGGCTGCTGAGATCAGTTTAGATAATAAGGATGTTCAAAGTGGTCCAGGATGTCGTCTTCTCATAGAGCCAGGGATACGACTCTGGGCCATTCTCCTGTCCAGATTGTGAAGAAAAGGTCCAGCCCAAGTGTCTTCTAAGGTTGCCAATTTCTAACTGATTACTTAACAAAACCCATAAAGAAGACAGATGATTTCTCAGATATGTGTATAGTGGTTTAGATAAAGCAGAAATGACAGTGAGGAAGTTGGTATACGGTTAGGTGTGATTGAAAGAATTAAGCTCCAGTAATCTTTAGTGCACCTGCGCTTACATCCAAAGCCCCTAAGAGCGAGAGGCACAGAGCCTGGGGCCCAGCAGAGCCCTGAGCCAGTGTCTCAGAGTCTATCATCCAGTAACCTATCAGTTGCTTTGAATGCTTAGAATGCTTAAATTAGAGAGTGTAAAGCTATCTGGACAGCTTAGGATCTTACTGCCCTGGCACACAGGTGAGAGTTCTGCCCAAACTTGCTATTTCACCATTCCTGTTCCCATATTCCTCAAGATGAATCTCTGGGATGAAGAAAATCTCAGTTTGAAATCCTCAGAAAGTCTTTCCAGGAACTATAGTTTGCCGAGTCTCTCTGAAAGAGCAGATGTTGATGGCTTTCACTGGGAAGCGTGGATTTCCCCCATGGACGTAGCATGCAGCGTGTCAGTCCCTGAGTCGGCTGTAGCAGGGCTGTCGTGTGCACACTAGTGTCAGCAATGTTTGGAGCTAGAAGATTGCAGACCAAGCTGTAAAGCATCCGAGAAGAAGGCACATGGACTCCAGAGCAGAGCCCCACCTCAGCCTTGCCCTAGCTGTTCTTGGTGCCACACCTTCCTCATCTCTGCCATAAGGAAATTTATTTCTTCCTCATGGGTTCATTTTGGTGGCAAGAGAATTAAGGAAAAGCTTCTATTACATTGGGGGTTCCCTGCACAGGTCCCCTTATCTTATGTAACTGTACCTCACTCTGCTGAAACAACAAACTCCCTTGTGCTGGCCCAGAAGTTTTGGGTCTAGGAATCACTTGCAGAGTCCACAGAGTGACCTGCTGTGCATTGCTTGCCCTCAGGATCCTCCTAGACCAGAACGTAAATGAGCTACAGAGACAAGTGAGAACCTTGCAGGATAAGGAGGAACAACAAGAAGCAGCCAATTCCCAGAAACAAGAGGCTCTACGAAAACAACTGGAAAGCGAGAGAAGAAAGTGTGAAGAGGTAAGAAAGTAGCAGACGGGTGTCCCTAGTGTCCTGTTCTCACAGACTGGAATGAGTCTCCATCGTTACTATTGGTATTTGGCTAATTTACCTACTGAATTTAGCTGAGAAAACAAATATATACAAAGAATGGAGGTTACAGACATAGATATAGATATATCTCCAAGTGGAGGGGAAGGAAATATGACTTCCTCGTATCATCTGGGCTGTTTGGTTAGGGTATAAATTAATAGGATCTGGAGTGATGCCTTAATGATTAAGAGCACTGACTGTCCAGAGGACATGGGTTCAAATATCCAGGCACCTACATTGTAGCTTATAACTGTCTGTAACTCCAGTTCCAAGGAATCCTCTTGGAACATGTCACATCTTCTTTGGAACATGTCAGGCACCAAACACACATGTGGTGTGCAGACATACATGAAGGCAAAACATTCTTATATATAAAATGAAAAATATGTATTTTTTAAAAAAATTAATCAACATAAGAGCAAATTAATAGGAGTAAGACCATTTTAAATATATGAATATTTAAATATATTCATATATGAATGAGTGTCCACAAAACATGAGGCTTAAAACAGGTCATATGGTTCAACATTTGTATAGCATCCTGAGCTATCTAGAAGGGCCCCTGGGACCTCTGGAGCACAGTAGAGACAAGTTTCAGAAGGTGTGGGGAGGAATTGTAAGGTGAGGAAGGGGTCATCTCAAAAACAAATAAGTCTCCCCAATGTGGACCAAGGACATCACTCAGTGGGTAAAGCATTTACCATGAAAGTGTGAAGACGCCAGGCAGTGGTGGCCTTTAATCCCAGCACTTGGGAGGCAGAGGCAGGTGGATTTCTGCGTTTGAGGCCAGCCTGGTCTACAGAGTGAGCTCCAGGACAGCCAGGACTACACAGAGAAACCCTGTCTCGAAAAACCAAAAAAAAAGAAAAAAGAAAGAAAAAAAGTGTGAAGACATGAGTTTGAATCCCCAGCACGAATGTAAAAGCCCAACACACAGTGTGTCTGGTACCCCAGTGCTCCTATGGGGAAACAGGAGGCAGAGAGTGGAGAATCCCTAGAAGTTCAAGGTTTAGGGACCCTGGGGAGCACAGTGTAGAAAAGCAAAGAGGACCCCATCTAAAAGAAGATGAGAAGGCAAGAATCATGAGGTTGTCCTCTGACATCTCTATGATGGCTATAGCACATACATGCCCACATCACACATATGAGTGCACGCACATGCACACACACATATACGAATAAAGCCCTCTTCCTGAATAGAAACTTGCTGACCTGCATTTCCTGTATAGATGTAAATTCCTTTTACAAGAGATAGCTCTTCCTCGGCTGGTGAGATGGCTCAGCGGTTAAGAGCATTGAGGGGAGGGAAAAAAAGATAGCTCTTCCGAGCTGCTTTCATGTGTGTAGTTTCTCAGAATAACAAGCTTAAAAACACACCAACGAAGTGCACGGGAGGTGTGCTAGTCAGTGTTACTATTGTTATGATGGAATACCATGACCAAAGCAAGTTAGAGCCAGGCAGCGGTGCCACACACCTTTAATCTCAGCACTGAGGAGGCAGAGGCAGGTGAATCTCTGAGTTTGAGGCCAGCCTGGTCTACAAAGCTAGTTCTAGGACAGCCAAGGCTATACAAAGACATCTTGGAGGGGCTGGGGAGGGGCAAGTTGTGGAGGAAGGAGTTTATTTGGCTTATACTTCCATATTGTAGTCTACCAATGAAGGAAGTCAGGGCAAGAACTCAAGTAGGCCTGGAACTTGAAGGCAGGAGCTGATGCAGAGGCCATGGAGGAGTGCTGCTTACTGGTTTGTTCATCCTAGCTTGCTCAGCCTACTTTCTTTCTAGAACCCTGAGTTTGAATCCCCAGCACCACCGGCCCAAGGATAGCACCACCCACAATGGACTGGGCCCTCCCTTATTAGTCACTAATTAAGAAATGCCTTACAATCAAGGATGTGGTGCACACCTTTAATCACAGCCTTTGGGAAGCAGAGGCAGGTTGATCTCTGAGTTTGAGGTCCGCCTTGGTCTACAGAGTGAGTGCCATGACAACCAGAGCTACACAAAGTAAAATGAAGAAAGAAAGAAAGAAAGAAAGAAAGAAAGAAAGAAAGAAAGAAAGGAAGGAAGGAAGGAAGGAAGGAAGGAAGGAAGGAAGGAAGGAAGCAGGCAGGCCTACAGCTGGATTTTATAGAGGCATTTTCTCAATTGGAGTTCCCTCCTTTCAGAGGACTCTAGCTTGCGTCAAGTTGACAGAAAAAATAGCCAAAACATTGTGGTAATTCTGATCAGTGACTCAGTGGTTTGGGGGTTGTGTGTCCTAGGCCCCCAAACAAATAAGAAGTTATTTAATACATGAGGAAAAAACGCTGGCAAAGCTGCTGGATGGGAGATCAGAAGGAGCTGCCATGGGTTTCCAATAAACCCCGAGGATCCAGAGATCACAGAGAAGCTACCTCCTCCAGGGCCAAAGATGTCTCGACCACTGTCTGCCTGTGACTATGACCATGTGTTCAAGGAAACACTAAGTGGGAAAGGCATGCCTGCGTTCTCTCTGTGAGCCCACACTACTTCAGTACTTCACTTCTGAACCCAGACAGTAGGGTTCTTATTGTTGTTCTTGTTTGTCAATTTTTGTTTGTTTTCCTCCCACATAAGGCAATCCTGTGCAGGCACCAGCAGGGTGTACAAAGTTTTAACTCAGTGGAACATCATCTGCCTGGAGACAGCATCAGATCTTACAAAGTAAGGGCTAGTTCTGCAGGACCATCCCAGATATCGGTCTGGATTTCCCTGCTTTGTTTCTGGAGATCAGCTGTAAATCTGAAGCTGCTGTGATGCACTATGAGGTTTGGTCCTGATGCTTAGAATGGCTCAAGAGAGGCCGGTTAAGAGCATCTGCTGAGGCTGCTCACAACTGCCTACAATTCTGGCTTCAGGGGATGCAGCGCCCTCTTCTGGCCTTTGCTGGTGTACGCACACAGGTGTACACATACATAAAAGTAGAATGTCTCTGGAGATGTTTACTTGGTTATCAGCTTACTAGAAAAGATTGAGACTCAGAAATAGCCAGTAGGAAGAGATGCCCAGGAGTGTGAGACTTGACCCAGAGTTCATGTGTCCAGCCTGCGCCTCCACACGTTCACCAACCCACAAGCTCTCTAATTCCTAACCTCATGGAATTTTTATGGAAGTTTCTGGCTCAGGGTTTTATACAAAAGGAACTTGGAAGAGATCCCTACTCTGCTGTAACCACAAATAAAAAGCTGAGCAAGCTGAAATTTTAAAGCAATACTTCTTGATCTATCAGGGAACTGAGGTCACAGGGTCACAACTGACCTGAGGTCGGAGAGACTTGCGATATTAGCCCACTCCACCCCCATTTTAAGGGGAATAAATGGAGCCAAGGGAAGAGGCACGTGTAAGGGCCATGGTTCAAAGGGGAAACTAACTGAAAGATGAAGTCTACTCATGGGAGCAGAGGATGCAGCCCATCCCCCTTGCCATGGCACCATACACTACATATCCATGTTTAACAACTCCCTTCATCATGTCTGGCTATAGGAAAATTCACAAGACATTTTAAGACATGACATGAAGGATCTGAGTAACATTGAAGAATCAAGACTCAAGCATGATGAGAGTATCGAAATTATCATAAATGCAAAGCACCTGCAATTAATACGCTGTGGACCCTAGTAAAGCAGGTATCACATAAAAGGGGAAACAGAGATTGAAAGTCTAAGGAAGAACAGAAACGCACGACATAGAAATCACAGTAGCAGAAGTGGTGGCAGCCTGTGACAGGGCTCTTAGCAGACTGCATACAGCTGAGGGGAGAATCCTGGATCCTGGAAATCACAACAGAAAGTTCAAAAGCAGCGAGCAAAGTGGACTTTAAGAGAAAAAGAACAGATTATTTGATACAGAAAGTATAATGCATGGCACAAATGCAGAAAACCAAGGTAAAAGGAGAAACGCTTGGTAGAATAATGGTTGAGGATGTCCAAAAGTCAGATGCTGAACCGCAGATGCAGAAGGCTCAGAGACTGCCAAGCAAGATGTCCAAAGAACCTCATGTAGGCTTATGATGCTCAAACTGAAGTTCAAAGAGAAGGTAATATCCCAGAAGAAGACACAGGGACAAAATACTTCCTCAGACAAAATATTGGGTGGTTTGATGCCCTAAGTGTGCTTTGTCAGCAATGTTAACAGATGTTCTTTAGACAAGAGAAAAACACAAAAGCAAAGCAAAACAATAACAAAACCCACAAAAAGACAAGAATCTACATTATGCACAGAAGTCAGCCAGCCAGATGACCCAATGGGTAAAGGATCTTCAGACTTCTGAAAGTTGTCCTCTGACCTTCACAAGCATCCCCATGGCACATGCACAAACAATAAATATGTATTTATTAACCACTGAGATGGCTCAGTGGTTAAGAGCACTGGCTGCTCTTGCAGAGGACCCAAGTTCAGTTCCCAGCACCTACATGGCAGCTCACAACCATACGAAGTGCAGGTCACTCAGGGATGTATTGCCCTCTTCTGTCTCCTCGAGCATGACACACACACACGCATGGTACCCAGACATACATGCAGGCACATGTGCTTGCATGCACCTACACACACACAAACACACACACGCACACGCACACGCACGCGCACGCGCGCACGCGCACATACAGACATGCATATACACACACAATGTATTTCAGAAAGAAAGGAAGAGCATCAGAGAAAAACTAAAGATAAAATGAAACTTTTTGTTTTAGTTGATCTTGTATAGTTTGATCACATTAGTGATAGGAGGCCACTGGAGAGAGGGCTCAAAAAGTCAAGAGCACTTGCTGCTCTTCCAGAGGCCCGAGTTGCATTCCTAGCACCCATGTAGGCTGGCTCATAAACACCTGTAACTCCAGCTCCAGGAGATGTGACACTAATCCTTTGACCTCCAAGGACACCTGTATGCACATACATTCACACGGACGTGAATGTACATGAATAGAAATAAAATACGTATTTAAAGATGACAGCAACAATAGAATTATACCATAAGTTCTTGTACACACATGTAGTGTGCTTATGTGTAAGGACAATGGACGGCAGCAGTGATACAGCGTATGGGAATAACTATCACACTAGTTTGCCCTTGCAGTCCACTGGCACTGCCCGGGAAGTGCTATAGCATCTGAGACTGAACTTAAGGTCTAGCACAGTATCCCACGCCTTTAATCCCAGTACTCAGGAGCATAGGAAGGCAGATCTCTGTGAGTTCAAAGCCAGCTAAAACTACATAGTAAGACTCAAAAACAAGGGGCTGGAGAGATGGCTCAGCGGTTAAGAGCACTGACTGCTCTTCCAGAGGTCCTGAGTTCAAATCCCAGCAACCACAGGGTGGCTCACAACCATGCATAATGAGATTGGATGCCCTATTCTGGTGTGTCCGAAGACAGTGACAGTGTACTCATAAATAAAATAAATAAATAAATCTCAAAAAAAAAAACCCACACACCCCTAAACATCCTAATGCCATTTAATACAGGTAGCTATTGAGCCCAGGTTTCAGTCAACAGACCTAACTACTTAAAGTCACACAAGAGGTTACGATCAACATTTCAAATTTCAGAGCTGGAGACATGGCTCAGTGGTTAAGAGCACTTGTTGCTTTTACAGAGGACCAGAGTTTAGCTCCCAGCACCCACCTCAGGCTACTCACAACCCACATGTAACTCCAATGGATTCAGCACCCTCTTATGGCCTCTTTAGGTACATATACCTATGTGCATAAACACATGTACACACACACACATACACACACACACACGCAATTAAAATAAATCATTAGATAAGTTTAAATTCTAACTCCAATAAGCACATCCATCTCAATAACTTCGGCCTGTTCAACCTTATAGTCCTTCCTCCCCAGCTTAGCCTCCTAGAAATCCACCCCCCACATATGCCTCTAGCTTCTTGCATTGTAAGATGCCCAATCCTCCCCGTATTCCTCATTTATTTCTAAGTCAAGGCCTATATCCAGTCTCTTCTCTCCCATGGTGTGTTAGAGTCTAACTCTTACGTCACGACTGGAGAGACAAGAAGGAAGATGTGGTGGTGGTCATATACAGGTGGCTTTCAAGGACAACAGCATCTTTTTTTTTTTTTTTTTTTTTAGACCCGGTTTCTCTGTGTAGCCCTGGCCTACACACTGATCTTGAATTCACTGTGTATCTGAGATGGTCTTGAACTTGTGATCTTCCTGCCCCCACCTTCCAAGTGCTTGAATGACTGACTAGTGTGCCATGCTCTGTGCCATGGTGGGGAGCAAACCCAGGGCTCCATACGTGCTAGGCGAGCCCTCCGCCAACAGAAACAGATCTCTAGCAACAGCGTTCTTCTTCCAAAGTACCTGCCTAAGATGCAACTCGTACAGATGCCCAAAGCAAGGATGTTAAACTCTGCAGGCACAAGGTGAGACCTGCTTACGTTGATTGCCACCGGAGCTTGAATTCGAGGTTCTGTTGGATGTCGCTCTTCCCTTCGTTTTCTGTGTGTCTCTGAGCCCTGTGTTTCACAGAACACGAGAAGGCCATGGCATCAATTTGTGATGTAAATCTTCCATCTGTTTGATAAAGCTTTGCTGTTGTTGTTATGTTGGCTTTCTAGCTACAAGAGAGGTTACTTTAAGATACTCATCTAACCTCTGTGGTCCTCCAACTCTACATTCGTCCAGTAATTAGACTCCTAAGTTGGGAGTGTTCTCCCTGGAAATGCTGATTGACTTGATCAGAGATGTCTGGCTCACCCTGCAGACCCCAGAATTCTCAGTTCTGTCACAGCACAGCTACTTGAATGAGAAGATTTGAGAAGGCTCCATATGGAAGGAAAGGCTCATTCCTCCTCTTGGTGTCAGTGGTCTTTGTCCATGGCCTGAGGCAAAGCGGCATGATGAGAAACGCCTGGTGGAGCAACTGTTCTCCTGATCCTTCACAGGGGTCACATATCAGATATCCTGCATGCCAGATATTTACATTGTGATTCAAAATTACAGTTATGAAGTAGTAATGAAAATAATTTTATGGTTGGAGTCATGACAACATAAGGAACTGTATTAAAGGGTCACAGCATTGTGAAGGCCAGGAACTGCTCCGGAGGTGTGAGGACACTTCATATGGTCTTCCAAAGCACTTCCCTGTGGGCAGCTGTTAGCTGATAACATAGTCAAGCCTTTTCCTATGGGTGCTTTATAACAATGAGCTCAGACTACAGATTAAGAATCCCTAATCCAAAACTCAGAAATCCAAAACTCTCCCAAACCTGAAATCTTTGGAGCTGGACATATTGGCACATGCCTGGAATCCCAGCTACTTGGTAAATGCTGAAGCAGGAGGATTGCTTTGAGCTCAGGAGTTTTAGGCCTCAATGAGTAACATTGCAAGAACCTATCTGTGATAGATTGAATGTAGTTGGCCCAGGGAGTGGCACTATTAGGAGGTGTGACTTGGTTGGAGTAGGTGTGGCCTTGTTGGAGGAAGTGTGTCATTGTGGGCGTGGGCTTTAATACCCTTGTCCTAGCTCCCTGGAAGTCAGTCTTCTGTTTGTCTTTAGTACAAGATGTTGAACTCTCAGCTCCTCCTGCACCATGCCTGCCTGGGTACTGATGATAATAGACTGAACCTCTGAACCTGTAAGGCAGCCCCAATTAAATGTTTTCCTTTATAAGACTTGCCTTGGTCATGGTGTCTGTTCACAGCAGTAAAACACTAACTAAGACATTATCTAAAATAATACACAGACACACAAATGCTAGACATGTTTTGAATGCTGACATGATGCCACATGTGGACAGCTCCATCTCTGACCTCATGTGGTAGGTCATCCAAATACAGGTGCACAAAAATATTACAATATGCTGGGCGGTGGTGGCACACACCTTTAATCCCAGCACTTGGGAGGCAGAGGCAGGCGGATTTCTGAGTTCGAGGCCAGCCTGGTCTACAGAGTGAGTTCCAGGACAGCCAGGGCTACACAGAGAAACTCTGTCTCGAAAAACCAAAAAAAAAATAAAACACAATACTTCCAGGCGATGAGAATAAGGGGTATATGAGACACAAATGGATTTCGTCTCTGGCCTTGGGCCTCATTCCCAAGGTAGCTCATCATGTAATTGCAAATATCCCCAAATCCTGAATGCTTGTCTCGAGCATTCTGGCTAAGAGATATTTGACCTGAACCTTCCAATCTAACTAGCTTGGATAGCCACTTTGAGTTTCTAGTCACTGAAGTCACTTCTAGATCCAAATACCTTATGGGTCAAAGCTCAATAGATTTTCTTTAGTTTTTGCACTCATGTTATAAAAAAAGCAAACTGCCAGAGCTGGAGAGATGATTCAGCGGTTAAGAGCACTGACTACTCTTCCAGAGGTCCTGAGTTCAATTCCCAGCAACCACATGGTGGCTCACAACCATCTGTAATGGGATCTGATGCCCTCTTCTGCTGTGTCTGAAGACAGCGACAGTGTACTCACATAAAATTAAATAAATCCTAGGGGAAAAAAAAGCAAGCTGCCTCCCTTTTTCTCTATGCTCACATCACACCAGTGAACACTGGAGTCTCCTGTGACCTCCAAGATACGCAGCTTTCTGCCTACAGGCAAGCCAGCAATGCCTCTGAGTGACCAGAAGCTGGGTATCTTCTGATTCAATTCAATTCTGACACAATGAACCTGGAGACTATTTCATCAGACCTCATGGATTAGGTAGGATTCAGTCTCTCAAGACTTCAGGCCCAGTGGCAAGGGTAGGCCTCTGGAATTATTTATTTTTCTCCCCCTCCCCCTTTCTTTGAGACAGGTCTCACATAGTACCAGGTGGCCTCAAAGTCTTTATTTAGCTGAAAATGCTCTTGACCAGTTGCTAAGATTGTTAAGTGCCACAACATATAGTTTTATGCAAAGCTGGGGATCCAACTCGAGACTAAGTGCATGCCAGGCAAGCACTCTGCCAACTGAGCCACACCCATAGCCTGCACCCCTAGCCTGGCCTGCAGAATTCCTGACCTACTAGAAATGGGCTACTGTTTCCATGATCCCTCCTGAGATCCAGTTGCTTTGCTAGAGTGCTCACACAACATGGGGGAATACTATGCTTCTGTTTCCTGGCTTGCTACAAAGGTCATTTTAAAGGACAGAAATAAGCAGTCAGACAAAGGGACACATAGAATGATGTCAGGAAAGGTCTGGAGCCAGGAGCTCCTGGCTCCGCGAAGTCGTAGGGAGCCTGCTCCCAGCATGTGAAAGAATACAGTCCTGCAAGCATGCATTTAGCTAGACCTAGAACCTCAGACCAAACAGTATCCAAGGCTCCTCAGATCTTGCCCTTTGGAGTTTGTGTGAGGACTTGACTACACACACACAGACTAGTCCTTTTTCTCCACCATGTCTTTCAGTATGTCAAGAGCAACCAGGAATTGTCAGAGAAACTCTCTAGCTTGCAGCAAGAAAAGGAAGCTCTATGGCAAGAACATGGGCGGTTTTTGGAGCAACTTGGTGATCATGTGAGGTAAACAAAGCAGGATACGGAGGGCTGATTGGTTAGCAGCCCCCAGAGCAATCACACCACTGGGGCCATCAGTGTGACTTCCCAGTCCTAGCTACATACTGTTCCAAGGAAGATGTGGGGCCCAATTCCTCCTCAAGAAGAGAGATTTAACCATTTACAGAACTCTCTGTTTGTATGTATCTTGCTTTCCCCGAGTATACCCTCTCACCGTCTTCAAGGATTTTCCCTACGTTCTTTAATAGTTACTATTTATTTTTAATTTATGTGTGTGGATGTGAGCCTACATGCATTTACATGTGTACGACACAGGAGCCCTTGGAGACCATAAGAGGGTGTCAGATCCCCTGGAACAGGAGTTACATACAGGTGGTTGTAAGCCGCCATGTGGGTACCGGGTACTAAAATGGTGCCCCCTGGAAGAGCAACAAGCGTGTCTAAGCATTGAGCTGTCTCTCCAGGCTGTCTCTTATTTCCTTTCCTCCGCCTGGACAGTATGTACACCAGACACCAGAGAGCACAAAAATCCTAACTAATCACTGCAGTGTTCTCTGCCTCGACAGCAGAGCCTTCCTGGACCTCCCTGAGGCCAGGCCCAAGTCTCAATCTCACTGCCACCAATAGACAATGCCAACATGCTGGTACCAACCTGCTACAGAACTAACTTCCTGTATAGGCAAGGTGGCTGCTTAACCACACTATTTTACTCGGTGTAATTTCATGCCTTGACCAGCAATTGGCGACAAAGAGCACAAAGAGCAAAAGTGCAGTCAGGAAAGCTCAGGCTGGCCAGTCATCCCACCCCAGGCCTGATTCCCTTTGGAATGGCTCCAGGGTCCGTGATTGAACAGCACTGTGCATCATTAATGCCCTGGCAAACGTCCAGACGCATCCCACCACTGCTGCTACCATGATGGAGGAGCTGCTGTTTCTCCACATCCCTTTTGAAGGGGGAAGGGGTCTTGATGAAAATTTCCTCCAACATTCTTGCTTTTGACGCATATAGAACACGTGCCCAAAAGGCTAATAGACAATTCAATGCATTTTGACAAATGTGTATATACATGTAACTCCCACCTCAATCAAGATGCAGAACACATCCCCACTGCTTGTGTGTCTCCTGCCTGTGTGCAGTCAGTCTGCAGCTGCATCCCCTGTGTCCTCCTCAGGCAACCACTGCTGTGCTGTCTGCGTTCCCAGAATTTCTAAGTAGGCTCGCTCTGCATGTTGGTCTTTTCATGCCTGACTTGAGCAAGAGCTCAACGTATTCCATTATTTACATGTGTACTTACGGCCAGATCTTTCCACTGGATTTTGAGTGTGTGTGTGTGTGTTACAGCTGCAAGGCTGAATAATTCTCCATGTTATTTATGCATGACCTTTAGAAAAATGACTCTAATCTCAGCTGCATGTGCGTGGGTCCTTACATACATGAATTTAATCGAAATCTATGAAAAGCAACCAGTGTTTTCCCAGAGCATTACCATACAGTTCTAACATGTATCCAGAGATGAAGAGCACAGATCTATGAAGGGCAGTGGAAGGAAAGGTCAAAGCCCAAGGTTCATTTTCGTTTCTATCTCCCTGATCCCAGTCCTGAACTTTACAGATAAATGTTGTATTTACATGTTTTCCCAGCTGCTTTTCCAGAGAAACAAATTCCTCACCTTCTTGAAGCCCAAGTAGTAAGCAATCTGGTTTTACTTAGACACAAGCTAAAAGATTTCCCCTAAGTGTTGTGCTATCTCATGAGGCTGGTGGTTAACATAGTCAGAAGGACAGAAAAGCTGCACATTATTTGGGCAAGCAGTCCTGGAACCTCAGACCAAACCAGTATCTAAGCCAGACAGCCAGACAGCGGTAGCCAGGGAAGCCTCTGGGTTACTCCTGGCTGTTTGGCATCATGTGTGCAGGAACCCACATATAGATACACACGTACACAGAGTTTTACAAACTAGACAATACTGAACATATTGGGAATCAGCTATTTTCCCAGTTTCTCTAGACTTTATCCCTTTCCTTTTTAAATAAAACAATTTTTTAGTTAATCTAAGTGATGAGGTAACAGCTCTTTGGTTGGGAAGCTAAAGATTTGGGGCTTTAATTCTTTTATTATTTATTTTATTTTATGTGTATGAGTGTTCTGTTTGTAAATATGTAAGTACATCACATGCATGCCTGGTGTCCTTGAAATTTCTGAAGAGGGCATGGGATCCCCTGGAACTGGACTCTAGTTATAGATGGTTGTGAGCAGTCCTGTGGGTGCTGGAAATGGAACCTGTGTTCTCTGTAAGAGCATCAAGTGCCCTTAACTGCTCAGCCAACTCTCCAGCCCAAGACTGGGTATTAATAGCTAGGATAAGTAGAAGAACTTCTGAAAGTGTGTGCTGTGTGTCAGATGACGTCAGAACATCACTGAGCATGGTATCACAGACCTGTAATGTTAGCTGATGATTAGAAGAGGCAGGAGAGTAGAAGTTCAAGGTCAGCTTCAGATATATAGCCAAGTTCAAGGCTACCCTGGGCTACATGAGACAAAATATTTTAGAAAAAAATCATGATTTTACTGGCTGTAATGGCACACACTTATAATTTCAGTACTCAGGAAATGGAGACAGAAGGATCAGGAGTTCAAAGCTAGCCTAGGCCACATTTGTGAGAAACCTGTCTCAACGTCAAAATCCATCAGCATCACTGTGAACACCTGGGAGACCTAGAGGAGGCTAGGAAAGTTGTATTACCATGAGATGCCCGATCTTTGATGCTCCTCAGGATCCTGATACCCAGGAATAGCTTTCACCACGAATTCCCAGTGCAACAGAGAAAGAGGTTGCTATGGGAGGCAATCATCTTCTTAGGGACTGAAAACAATTTACAGACGTGTGTATTTCACTATTGTAGTGGGTGCTGTGTAAGGGCCACAGGTTGAAATAGGTCTGTGGCAAGTTTATGAATGTAGCTGTCTATAGTGAGTGCCATTAGTTACGGTACTGTATGAAAACCTGAATAGAAATGGCTTCAGAGGCCAGGAGGCAGCTCGGTCGGTAGTTACGTGAGGACCTGAGTTCAGGTCCCCAGAATCCATGTAATAAGCCTGTAACTCTGGGGCTGGGGGAGAGGGGAAGACAGGCAGATCCAGGAGCTCACTGGCCAGTCAGCCTAGTCAGATGGGTGTGCTCCAGGGTCAGTGTGAAAATACTAAGTGGAGAACAACACTCAGACATTGACCTTTGGCCTCCACACTTATCTACACATGCATGCACACACATGCACATACTCGTGAACACACACACATACACACACGCATGCACAAAGCAGGAGATAGAAAGCTAGGCATGTTGACACATGCCCGTTACAATCTCAGATTCAGGATCTTGAATCTAAGGCCAGTCTGGGCCACATAGTGAGTCCCAGGTCAGTCTAAGCTCCACAGTGGGAGTCTGCCTCAAAGAACCAAAAAGAGGCGTGTGGTGTGTGGGTGGTGTTTCTCTCTTATCTGACAATGCAGACATAAGCAGGACTGGAATGGAGGTTCCCTGCGTCAGAGGCTGAGGCAGCCACTGTCTTGCCACTGCCCCAGCAGCCTGTAGTCTTTAGTTTTGTTTTGTTGTTTTGATTGGTTGTTTTTTTTTAGTTTCAGGTTTTGGTTTTGTGTTTGGTTTGGTTTGGCTTGGTTTTGGTTATTTTTTGTTTGTTTTTAGACAGGGTTTCTCTGTGTGGGCCTGGAACTCACCCTGTAGACTAGGCTGTCCTTGAACTCATAGATCTGTCTGCCTCTGATGTGCCACTGCCACCTGGCTTTGCATCTTGTAGCTTTAAGATGTGGAACTTGTCCACATCACTGAAGACAGTTTACTACAATTCCCACCTTTCAGTCAGTAAGCAGGGAGAGAAGGCAGGCACATGCCGGCTTCTTTTAAGGCACGCATTTCCTTCTTACATTCTGTTAGCCCAACTGAACATGGATTTATGCAGCCACAAAGAAAGCTAGAAAAATCTAGCTATAAGGAAAAATAATTTAGTTATTTTACAAGACAACTGTTCCTCAGCCAAATCTCATGGATTCTATAATGATAAAAAGAAATTTAAGGGCCAGCCATTAGGCTCAGCGGTAAAGGAAGGCACTTGCATAAAGCCTGATGACCTGAGGTCAGTCCCTGGAACCCACACACGGTACAAGGAGCGAACCAACTACTACAAGTTATCCTCTGAGCTCCACATATATTTTGTGGAGAAATAATAATAATTTTTTAAAATGCAAGGAGTATAGGCCGGGTATAGTGGCACATGCCTTTAGGCTCAGCACTTGGAAGGGTGGCAGAGGCAGGGGGATCCTTGTGAGTTCAAGGCCAGCCTGGTCTATTTAGAAAACTTCAGGTCAGCAAGGGCTATATGGTGAGACCTTGTCTCAAAACAAAATAGTATAGCCAGGAACTAGACAAATAGAAATAATAATTTTCATCAGTGGTGCAGGATTCAGAATTCCTACATCAGGGATGCAAAGGCCCAGGAGTTTCCTAAATTAAACTCAGACACTAAAGAGTCATCAGTTCAAACCAAGGTAATCCAGAGGCTTGAGTTCACAGGGCTGGCTGATGAGGGGGCATTATTCTAGACTCATCCTTCACATAGGTGAAGAAGGCACAAGACAAGCCAGCATCCACACTTATGGTCCATAGGTCATATCCAAGGAGACCAATAGGCCCTACCTGCATTCCAGCATACTTAACCTGAATTTTGCTTTTATAGAAACTACAAAGACAAACACCACTGCCACAAAGCCAAGCTTCAAAAGGTCAAGGACCGTCTGACTCACGAGTTAGAAATTCGGAATAAGAGGATTAAAGAACTTGAAGATGAAACTGGGAAACTTCAACAGAAAATTGAAATGGTGAGGGAAAAAAAAGAGAGAACGCCATGTCCCCACTGGTGGTCGACAGTCTAAGTACACCTGCTCATCTTCTCCTTTGTTATTCATGGCGTCTCTCAGTCCCAGCTTTCGTTTTTCCTACCACCCCTTCCGTGTGAGGAATTCCTTTTATTTTTAATGCATGTGTATGTATGTGTGCACATTGGTGTGTGTGTGTGTGTGTGTGTGTGTGTGTGTGCACGCATGCACATGTGTGGATGTTTGCTTGTATGAAGGTACATGTGGAGGTCAGGAGACAACTTCAGGGGTCATCCCCCAGAGCACGGTGTGCCTGCTTCCTTTCTCTCACTGGGCTGGCCCTCAACAATGAAACTTAACTGGCTGACCAGCAAGCACCCAAGGATCCCCACCTCTTTACCACCCAGAGGTTACAACCCTCACAGCCATGCCCAGGATTTTTAGGTGGGTTCTGGGGATCCAACTCAGGGCCTCGTGCTTACAAAGGAAGCACTTTACTGAGCTAGCCCCACCAGCCCAGATGTGAGGACTCTCTTAAGGACCTGCAAGACTTGTAGGGTTGCTAACCCAAATAGGATACTGAAGATATTCCTCAGAAGTGATTTATAATTGTCTCACCTTCAAGTGGAAACATCAGTCCTGGAGCTGGAGTGGTAGCTTAGGGGTTAAAAGCTCTTGCAGCAGGGCTTGAGGGATGGCTCAGTGGTTAAGAGCACTGGCTGCTCTCCCAGAGGTCCTGAGTTAAATTCCTAGCACGCACATGGTGCTTGAGCACTTGCAGCTTTTACAGAAGATCCAGGTTCAGTTCCCAGAACTCTTATAGTAGCTCAAAACGAGCTTTTATTCCAGTTCTAGGAGTTCTGACATCTTCTAATGGCTTTATTGGGCACCAGGCATATATGGTACACACACACACACACACACACACACACACACACACACACTAAAAATAAACCTTTTTAAAAAATAGTCTTTTGAGCCAGGCAGTGATGGTGCACACCTTTAATCCCAGCACTTGGGAGGCAGAGGCAGGCAGATTTCTGAATTTGAGGCCAGCCTGATCTACAGAGTGAGTTCCAGGACAGCCAGGGCTACACAGAGAAACCCTGTCTCGAAAACAAAACAAAACAAAACAAAACAAAACAAAACAAAACAAAACAAAACAAAACAAAACAAGGTTGTCCTGGATGTGAGTTAATTCTAAGTCCAAAATAATAATAATAATAATTTTTATTATTGATATATACTATTAATATATTAATAATATTATTAATATGTATTGTAGTAATAATGCATACATAATATTGATGCATATTAATAATCTGTAATAATATGTATCATTATTACATATTATTACTATAATGTATTAAATTCTATTAATATAATAATAATATAATAAGTCCAATATGCCTGCATCTTTGCAAGAGTAGTAGCAGAAGCAGAGACCAGGACACGTCCAATGGGAAGGAACACCCTGTGAGGACAGAGGCGGAGAGGGGAGGCTGTGTCTGTAAGCCAGAGAACATGGAGGATGCTTGGCAACCATGTGACAGGAGGAGGCTTGGAATGGTATCCCTGTGAGGGCTGAGGGTGTGGTGTCCCTGTGAGGGCTCAGAGTGTGTGTCCCTATGAGGGCTCAGGGTGTGGTGTCCCTGTGAGGGCTCAGGGTGTAGCCCAGCACCAGAGCATTTGCCTAACATGCACAAGGCCCTGGGTTCAGCCTCCAGTACTGACAGGGAGACCTTCTTGGTCCCCAGAGCTAACCCTGGCAGCATCCTGATTCCAGACTTCCAGCCTCCTAGGACTGTGATAAAATAAACTCCTGCCATGCAAAGCCACTAGGTATGTCATAATTTGATTTGTCTAAGGTATGGTAAGGAGGTTTAAGTTCTTATCTTTCTCCCTCTGCCTAAAAATGAATATAACTACATACCAGCCAGATAGCTCAGAGGGTAAAAGTAGTGAGGCACTTGATGCCAAGCCTGTTAGCCCTAAATTCAATCCCCCAGGACCCATAGGGTCCTCAAAAAGAACTGACTCCTGCAACTTATACTCCGACCTCCACGTACACATTGTGGTACACACCCATATAGTTGTTTAAAATGAGTGAGTGAGTGAGTGAGTGAGTGAGTGAGTGAGTGAGTGAGTGAATGACCAGAGAACACAGTGAGTAGAGCACCATGGCACATGCCTGTAATGCCAGCCCTTAAGAGTCTGAAGCAAGAGTATCACCCCAGGATATATAACAAGTCTCTGTCCAAAATAACAACAACAAAATATCCACAAACAGGATGGAAGTGTATCCAGGGAGAAGAGTTCAATGCAGAGTACAGAATTCTCTTGTACTTGCTAGGGCTTTAATACCCGCTGGAATTAAAACACAGGGAAGATAACTGTTTCTTCCTGGAGATTGAGTACCAAGGTTGGTTTAATTGTGAATGTGTCCATTCCCTAAAGTAAACAACACAAACAGGAGGCATCTAGTATAACTAAGGATCATGCCAAACAGGTGCCAACAGATTCTGGGGCCAGGAAGAGAGAAAGCAAGAACTACTGGAGTTACTGTTAAGACCTGGGCACAGGCAGAAGCTCTTACTATCTATATGTCCTTCTCCCTCTTCCTAGGAGAAAGTGTTCCAGGGCCAGATCATGACCCAAAATGACATCCTCCTCCTGGAAAAGAGGAAGCTTCTAGAACAAGTCACAAATCAAGAAGAACTGATTTGCAGCAACAAGTCCACGATATCTGCATTCCAGAACAAGTAGGTGTGGTGGAGGGGCCCCTGAGCTCCTGAGGTTAAGAGTCTCTCTACTCAGGGCATGGGTGGGTCTGGAGACTGTTTGGGAGTGCTTCTGGCCATCCTGTGGGTCTTGTTCTGCTATCTTCTGTTTTCAGCCGCCGTGGCCTCAAAGAGAGTGCCATGGAGGGGAAAGGAGTGTGTAGATTGTATGACAGTGATGAAGCACATGCTTCCCAGGCATGAGGCTCTGTGTTTGATCCCTGCACAGGCAGGAAGGAAGGGAGGACGGGAGGGGAACGTTTTCTAGCTATGCCTCCAACTTGTGCCATGTTTAGGGCGTTTTTATTGGATAAGGAAAACCAGCAGTTGCAGGAGAACTGCCTCCGGCTCATGCAGCAAATTGGCCTCTTGGAGCAAATTATAAGGAACATCCAGATTCGCAAAGAAGAGGTAAGATGTGCATTGTATTGGGTCCTAAGGTTTGGCTCGCTAGCTCCCCCTGCCACAGCCTGCTCTTGGCTGCCTGGAGAGCTGTGGCAGAGTGGCTCGATCCTTGGGGGCACTTGGGACAGCAGATCCCTGACTGATGTTTTTTTGGTTTTTTGAGACAGGGTTTCTCTGTGTAGCCCTGGCTGTCCTGGAACTCACTCTGTAGACCAGGCTGGCCTCAAACTCAGAAATCCACCTGCCTCTGCCTCCCAAGTGCTGGGATTAAAGGCGTGTGCCACCACCGCCCGGCTGGGTTAACTTTCATAACACTTTTATCCTGTGTAATCCCAAAGCCATCTATATATGCCTTGGGGCATCTTTCTAAATGTGCTACATACCTGTTGCCTTTTTTTTTTTTTTCTGCTCTAGGTCAATAACTTAGCAGTGAGGTCTCAGAAGACAAGAACTGTATAGCTCATCTGTGACCTCATCTGAGGACTGGCCTAGCTCATACATGACTGTATCTGTGGAGAAGTATAGTTCATACTTGACCATATTTGCAAGACAGACACTTTAGAGTGCTTTGACAAATGGATGCTAAATGTTTTCTCAGATACGCCTCCTTCTGAACAACCCTGTTTGCAGCATATTGTTCTAGCCCTGTCTGAAGAGAAAGAACAGCAGATCTGAGGCTTGGGAAGGTTGAGTGAGGCCAGTTTAGTCTGCTAATGAGTCAAGACTGAGGAAAGCAATTGAGTCAGAGAAAAACAAGTGTGTTCCAGATTCAAAGGAGAATTGCGGGGGATAGTGTGGGCTCAGGCAAGGTCCAGAGTCTTGCTGGTGAAGACTGGAGCTTCACTAAGCAGAATCAGATGATAGATCTGGGGTAGAGGGTACTTCCTCCTTTCCGCAGTGTGATCACTTGCAAGGTGTCCCTTCAGAAGATACTTCTCCACAGATCGGTTATTGGCTCTACGGCTATAAGACCTGCATCTTGTTTGTTCTCACAAAGGTCACTATTTCTAAGCTACAATAGGTGTTTCCTAGTCGTCATCAGAAGAACTGCCAGCTTACGTGACCTGATTGCTTGTTTCTCTGTTTGCTTGAGTGACTTCTTATTCAATTCACTCACTCATCAACCCTTAGCTCCAGGAACTGGGCTGGGTCTTGGAACACCAAGAGAGTCTGTGTCTTCATACCTCTTTATTCCAGTACTGAAAGGCAGACACACCCGTGAATGAATATGACAGGATTACAAGTCAGAAGACTACATGGAGGCTGGGTATGGGGGCTCACACCTGTAATCCCAGAACAGAGGAGGCTAAGGCAGGAGGGTTAGGAGTTCAAGACTAGCTTCTGCTATTTAAGGATTTCAAGGCCAGACTAGGATACATAAGACTCTGTCTCAACCAAACAACCCAACAACATCCACAACAACAGCCAAGAAGGCTAGACTGGTAGGGTAGCCTTTGCCTAAAGATGACCTGAGTTCAGTTCCTGGAACCCAGATTGGGGAGGAAAGAACCAAGTCTTCTGACTTGGGAAAAAAAAAAAAAAGCCATGTGATGGTGGTGCACGCCTTTAATCCCAGCACTCAGGAGGCAGGGGCAGGCGGATCTCTGAGTTCCAGGCCAGCCTGGTCTACAGAGTTACAGACTGAGTCCCTGGACAGCCAAGGCTACACAGAGAAACCCTGCCTCAAACCCCTCATTCCCCACTCCAACAGCAGCAGCAGCAGCAGCAACAGCAGCAGCAGCAACAACAACAACAACAGGCTTTATTGGCCAGCTGGTGACTATACTGGGTATTTGGGATCGTGGTGCAGCACTGAGTCTTTCTCAGAGTGAGCTTTTAAGCACAAAAACCATGTCCTCGGTTGACATACTTCAGCTAACAGGAACAGTTAGCCAGACTCGGAATAACAGAAGCTAAAAGGCAAGGTTAGTACATTCAGAGACTTCCCCAGAACTGTGGACATTGATGGATTAGGCCTTTGTTTCTGTTTAGGCAGGTGGTGCTATCTATGTGCTGAGTTTTATGGTCTGAATGGTACTTCTGTCATGGAGTCAGTTGTGCTGAGATATGGGGTTCTGTCACAACCCCAGAAAAGAATCAATAACAGACCAAAGAACAGATATCAGATATGGTGAACTTTTGTTAGGGTTATTTATAGGAGCATGATTGAGGGTTACTTCCAGGAAAAAAAATGACTTAAAGACATCTGCATCACCAAAAGCCATCCCACCAAGGGTGACAGCTCATGAAAGCTGGAAACCTGGAGCACACCATAAAACCAGCAAACAGCTCAACAGGTTGGAGAGTCCCTTCCAGGCTTATGTCTCTCTTCCCCCCACCCCCTTCCCTTCTCCCTTTTGCTCCAGCCCCCACCTCACTCACTCTGGCCTGTCTTCAGACACCCCATATGAGGGCATCAGATCTCATTACAGATGGTTGAGAGCCACCGTGTGGTTGCTGGGATTTGAATTCATGACCTCCAGAAGAGCAGTCAGTGCTCTTAACCACTGAGCCATCTCACCAGCCCTCTGGTTGTGTCTCTTACCAGTCCTTACTAGTGTATCACCTTGGAGACTAAGGAAACTGGGGAATCTGGCCAGTCTCAGGGACTTCCTGAAGCTTTTGAGTTAAATCCTAAATTTAAAGCACTTCCCTGCAGAATGCCATGTTTCCCCTCACTTTAGAACATCTTGAATTTTAAGGCGTATCCCTCTAAGATGTAATGTTTAATCTCTTGTACAAAAAAAATATATAAAGGTCTGGAGAGCCGGGCGGTGGTGGCGCACGCCTTTAATCCCAGCACTTGGGAGGCAGAGGCAGGCGGATTTCTGAGTTCGAGGCCAGCCTGGTTTACAGAGTGAGTTCCAGGACAGCCAGGACTACACAGAGAAACCCTGTCTCGAAAAAACCAAAAAAAAAAAAAAAAAAAACAAATAAAGGTCTGGAGAGATGGCTCAGCAGTTAAGAGCACTGGCTGTTCTTCCAGACTTGGGTTCAATCCCAGCACCCACATGACAGCTCACAACTGTCTGTAACTCTACTTCTAGAGGATATGACAAAATATCAATGCACATAAAATAAAAATAGGTAACAAAAATATATATATAAGCTTATCATTTCTCTCAGAATTGCTGGGAATTTCTCCTTTTTTAATTTTTAATTTTTTTTAGAATTACTTATTTGCCGGGCAGTTGTGGCGCATGCCTTTAATCCCAGCACTTGGGAGGCAGAGGCAGGTGGATTTCTGAGTTCGAGGCCAGCCTGGTCTACAGAGTGAGTTCCAGGACAGCCAGGGCTACACAGAGAAACCCTGTCTCAAAAAACCAAAAAAAAAAAAAAGATTTACCGATTTTATGTATATGAGTATACTGTAGCTGTTAGACACTCTGGAAGAGGGCATCAGATCCCATTACAGACGATTGTGAGCCAGCATGTAGCTGCTAGGAATTGAACTCAGGAGTCAGTGCTCTTAACTGCTGAGCCATCTCTCCTGCCCCCTGCTGGACATTTCTAGCATGAATTATTTGGTCTATATCAAGGGTTAAATTTGGTCCAGTTCAGGGAAATTATCATCATCGTCATCATCGACTCTACTGTTTTGGGGAAGGATTGTGACCAAGTCCCCTACTGTATAGCCCCGGGTGGACTGGAACACACTGTATAAGCCAGATTAACCCCAAACTTACACTGATCCTCCTGCCTCAGCCTCTTGAGTGCAAAGACTATAGGCATGAGCCACCATGGCCACCTTTAATCTATTTTCCTGGGGGAAACCATTTTATTTGTAAGTCATATAGCTCAAAAAAAAATACATAGAAGGAATGCACCCCAATATGATAAAGGCCGTGTTTGACAAACATACAGCTGACATGGAACTCGGGGGTAAAAGCTGAAAGCCTTCATTCTAGGGTCAGGAACAAGACGAGATGTTTCTGCTCTAACCACTTTCATTCAGGGCAGTGCTGGAAGCCCTTGACAGGGTAATTTGGCAAAGACACAGGGGCTTCCAAACAGAAAAGGAAGAGATGAAATTGTCACTGTGAGCTGATGATATGATCTTCCATACAGAAAATCATAACCACTCCATAATCCCTCTAAAATAACTCTATTAGAGCAAGAAAGGAATGCAACATAGAAATCAAATATTTAAGTACACTAACATTGACTTATATGAAAAGAAATCAAGCAGTAAGCCAGCAGGATGACTCAGTGGGTAAAGATGCTTGTTGCCAAGCCTGACAGCTGAGTTCCATCCTGGGATGCACATGGTGGAAGGAGAGAACCAGCCCCACAAGATATCTTCTGACCTCTACACACAAAAACAGATAAACAAATAAATAAATGTTATGGGAAAAGGATGAAATCAATAAAGTCCAGGAAATATTGTCTGGAATATTCAAAGCCCTGGTTCAATCTACACCACTCCCCCCAACCCCACCTCCTGCCCCTGTCAAAAAGAGTGTTGGGCTGGGATATAATTTTGTACTTGGCTGGGTAGAGTGCTTTGCCCAGTGTGCACATGGCTCTTGGTTTGCTCCCCAGCAATATTATTAGTCAGGGTTCTCTAGCATCACAGAACTTATGCAATGACTCTACATAGTAAGGGAATTTATTGTGATGACTTAACAGTCTGTAGCCCAACTAACCCAACAGTGGGTAGCTGTGAATAGGAATTCCAAGAATCCAGTATTTGCTAAGTCCCATGAAGCTAGTTGCTTCGGCTGATCTTCTATTATATAAGCTGAAATCCTAAAGAATTGGGTTTCAACAGATGTGCTGGCGAGTAAATTCAAGAAGATAAAGAAAAGTGAGCCTGCCTTCTTCCACTGTCCTTTTTTTTTTGGGGGGGGGGTGTTTCGAGACAGAGTTTATCTGTGTAGTCCTGGCTGTCCTGGAACTCACTCTGTAGACCAGGATGGCTTCCACTGTCCTTATGTAGGCCTCCAGCAGAAGGTGTGGCCCAGATTAAAGATGTGTACCACAATGCCTGGATCTGGAACTTGCTTTGTCCCAGGCTGGGCTTGAACTCAGAGACCTGCTTGCCTCAGTCTCCTGAGATTAAAGGCATGTACTACCCTGCCTGAGCCTAAACTTTTCATGGCCACTATGCCTCAAGATCTCCATGTCAAGATCTGGGTCAGAAACCTGCGTCTTCCAGCCTCAAGATCTGGATCACAGGTGTACCCTCCAGTTCTGGATTGTAGTTCATTCCAGATGTAGTTAAGTGGACAACCAGGAATAACCATCACAGCATATAGTAGAACACACATTTATATATATATACATACATACATATATATATATATGTATATATATGTGTATGTATGTATATATATATGTATATATATATACAGATACAGATACATATATATATATATAGAGAGAGAGAGATGAGATGAGAGATGGGGCAGCAGGGAGAGAAGATGGGGTGAGAATGGAGAGGAGAGGGAGAAAGAGGAAAAGAAGGGTGAAAGGGGAGAGGTGAGAGAAAGGCGGGGAGATATTGGCAGGGGAAAGAGGGAGGGCAAGCAACTATTCATTCCATACCCTTTTATACTTTACATTGCTTGTAGTTTGTTGTGCTGTTGGCAGCAGTAAATCAGTTTTATGTATCTTTATACCATAAATTGTAGGATCTTATTGCCAGTGGCTCATCATTATAAAGACTGAACGGGGCTGGGGCACCACCATGGATGCTCAGGGGATGAGAGTAATTGTTCTTGCAGGGTACCTGGGTTTACTTCCCAGCACCCACATCAGGTAGCTCATGGTGTTGTGCCAGGAAGCATTTGTGAACCCCAAAAGACCACCAAGGAGCCGTGTCTGAGTAACAGCATTAGGGTCTCTTTATCACAAGCTCAGGCTTGGGCTTTCCTCCCACCCAACCCTGACACATCAGGATGGGAAGGGAAGGCACAGCAGCCCCGAACCCTCAGCAGGACAAGGTTTATAGGAAAATGGGAAAACAAGTGAGGGATGAGGGAGGGGTGTCCAGTATGGCAAGCACCTAATAGAATGACTATAAACCAACAGGTGCTCTGAAGCAAGACCATATACAATCACAAACAGTCTGAAAGTAAGTCTGAAACAATTCGACTAATCTTTGATGAACTGTTGCTAGGAAGTAACTAGGGAGTAACTCTGTCCAAGGATGAGCCATGGGGTCCTTCCTGGTCGTGGGTGCAGCATGGGTGCAGCGTGGGTTCTGCTGCAGGGCAGGTTCTCAGGCTTGTTTTCTTTAAGATGGAGGCCATTCCCCAAATTGAGCAGGTTTGGCCTCTCAACAGCCACCCCCTGTAACTCTAGTTCCTGTGGATCTAACACATATATATAATATACAGACACACACACACACACACTCATTTACACAAAGCAAAAATAATTATATCTTTTTAAAGATATATTATTTTCTTTTAGGAAACAGTAATTACTGACAACGCTGCATTTGAAATATTCAAAAAGATACTACCTTTACAAAACTCCAGGTGAGTTACATACATCGAGACCGTCATTAACTGCACACCTGAGATGGCTCCTTACTGGTTCAGAGCGACTGTCTTAAAAAAACACAGCTTTGTTTTTTTTTTTTGTTTTTGTTTCTTCCTACACTTGGCTTTTGAATCTACACCTAGTCTGTGCTCTCCTCGCCAGCTTTCTAGTCCTACAGGATACCAGTTTCAGGCAGGGGTAGTCCAGGAGCAGGTGCCTCCGGTAGCTTTGATTTTGTCTTTTTCTTTGATTTGCCAGCTGTAAAGTGCTAAAGTCCTATCAACGCCATAGAGTCGTAACCCTAAGCTTCTAACAGGAAGTTGTACGTATGTTGATGTCCTCACACGTGGCCTTTCTCAGTTTCTCAGGGACAGGTTTGGTATTGTCAGCTGAAAATCTCCAGGAGACTGAGCTGCACAAATCCGAAGGAGCAACAGCAGTCCCCAAGTCCCCTGAGCCTCTTTCATGTTCACAGGATTCAGAAAGTGGATATATTAATGTGACTTCTCTAAAAGAGACATACAACATACAAGGGGACCAAAAGCCAGAACTATGACCTCACTGGTATCTACAACAATACTAATCATGCCTACTAACTCAGAGCCTCGATATAAAGGTGCAAACTGAGCTCAAGAAGTCTCACAGAACACCCTGGACATCAACAAGGATTCTTCAAAATTGCTTATTAAACAGTCATTAAAATTTTTCAAAAATGGAATTATTGTTTGATATACCAATTGATGATGGGGTTTTAATTTTTTGTATGTCTATTGGTGTTTTGTCTCCATGTGTGTCCATATACTCTGTGCATATGCCAGAAGAGGGCATTGGTTCTCATGAGATTGGAGTTGCAGACAGCTGTGTCATGTGGGTGCTAGGAATGGAAAACCCAGTGCTCTGTTGAGCCAACTTTCCAGCCCTAAGAAGATTTTTATTTTATGTGCACTCGTGTTTTACCTGCATGTGTCTGGTGAGAGTGTCAGATCCTCTGGACTGGAGTTGCAGACAGTTGTGAGCTGCCATGTGGGTTTTGGGAAAAAATCCTGGGTCTTTTGAAAGAGCAGCCAGTGCTCTTAACCGCTGAGCCATCTCTCTAAGCCCGAAGTTTTTTGTTTGTTTGTTTGTTTGTTTGTTTGTTTTTCAATAACTTTAGTAATACTCTACCAGACAAGATTTATATTTAATAAGCACAGAAAAGCATTGGTCGTGGTGTGGAATGGATTGGCCGGTGGTGAATAAATTCACCTTCTAGGCCATGCAATAGAAAGGTTTACTTAGTACCACGCAGGAGGCAGTGGGTGCAGTAAGAAGACGACGCGTCCAACCTTCTCAGGCACTGTCAGAGCAACTCGTCTCACTCTGCAGTTAATCTCTTCTTGTCCTTATTCCAGGATATGTTCATTTGAGGACTTAAAATTTTTT